TTTATTTCAACAATAAATTATACAGAAGATATCTTATAAATGTTATTATTTCTATGTACTCCCTGTGTTTAGTTATTTACATTACATTGCTACAATTTGTCTACAATAAAACACAAATATAGGCAAAACAAATAAGTCCAGACTCTGATTCTCATCAGCTTATTAGTTTAAATAAAGATTGATAGGTCATTTCAAGGTCAAAATTTGTGACACTTAAAAAAAAGAGTTAAACAAACAAAGAGTTAAAGAAAGCAGGGGCAGCATTTTTATTAGAATATAAAATAAAGTTGATGCATGTGACAATATATAAAAACTCTTTCTGCATCAAAGCATTACAATAACTGGACTTTTAATATAAAGGATTTTTAGTTCCTTATAAATGACCATGCTGTCTACAACAATGCTTGTCCCATGTGAAAACACCTGAAACCTAAAAAGGTCTTTTTTGTGATCTCTCATTGCTTACTACAAAAGAAAAAAAAGGCTATTTTTTGGAATTTGTGTCCTATCAATGAATCTCGGTACTCATTAAAATAATCATTACTGCCACCTAGCGGTGTGAGTGTGTTGTGGCTTGTTAGGTGGAGTTGTTGGATCTGATGGAGGAGCTGTTATCTGAGGGAAGGGAGTCAGAGTTGACGAGATTGCGCTTTTTGTTACGGCGGCCCACTGTTACAGAGTGAGTCCATTCTGCATGGTAGAATAAAAAGGGAATAATAATCACTGAAAACACATTATTCTTGTGTTTGTTTAATGCAAGGTAGAAATCAACATACCTAAGCTTTCAATGACCCTGAAACGTCCACAGCACAAATAAATCCTCCACTGTTTCCTCACATTTTCCTTCATCAAACAGTGAAACAGAAAAACAAAAAACCCTGAATGTAAAAAAACAAAAAAAAACAAAAAAAAAAACGTTATAATTATGCAAAAAAACACATACAAAAGTCATGGTAGTAAAATGAGACAGATCAATTCACCTTGAAAAGAATTAAGTATGGCAAACAAGCACAACACGACCCCCCGTCCAGGCCCGAATGAGAGGAAGCCCACTGACCAAGTCAGGCCCAGCAGAACAGTCAGACCAACAAGCACTCTAAAGTCCTGTACAGCGGTGCGGCTGTTGGCTGACGGATTGTTGGCCCTCATTTTTTTAATCTGGATCACAACCATAATGAACACGGTTATGTTGCCCAAGAAGATGAGGAGAATAAATCCTACCACTGTGACATTGTAGAAAACTTTCTTCTGAAGCCAGCAACTGAGGGAGCAGAAAAGAAGGAAAAGAGGTGTTTATTTTCAGTTTTCCCTAAATATCCTCACAAATTCTTTATGTTAGCGCCTTGCTGCTGTACTCACAACTTTTCACTGGATTGAAGTGCCACACCTACTAGTTCAGGTGTTGAGCTACCATAAGCATCTTTATCAATAGCAAGCACCAGACTGACTATCAGCAAAGGAACACCTGTGGAGGACAAAATATGGAAAATATGATACTCTCTTATATAGAACATAGTTGTTGTGATGTTGTTTATTTACTTTAAACAAATTCATATTATTGCCTTATTTTTTTATTTATTTTGTTATGCTGTATTTTATTTATTATTTTTTCAATATTTTTTCATTATTTTCAGCTGTGTTCAGCACTTTGTTTTCAGCTGTAGATGTTTTAAAACGCTTTTTATAGAAAACTCATACAGTCAGATGTTTTCATAGAAGTTAACGACTAAATGAAAAAGTTAATTGTGCAGGGGTTTATAATTTGTACTTGAATTTCATATAAAAAAATCAGGACTTTTAATTTATTATCCTTCTACAAAAACAATAGAAAATTTTTTATTTATCCATCATTACAACGTCTCTATTATCACTTTTTCTTCCATCAGACATTGGTATTTTATTAGTTAACTGAAGTTGTTTTGGATAATAGATGATTCTTAGAACAGATCAAAAAATCTTTTTTTTTATTTTTATCTCTTTAAATCCGCATTGTTTAAGGGATTTGACTCTGGTTAGGAATGTAAGATCAGACAGAGTTTGAGAATTACTTTATATTCTTTCGTTTTACGAAAACAAATAGTGAACTCATAATAAATGTAGATAAAAAAGGTTTGAACCATTTCATCATTTAGGTTCTTTGAAGTAATTTACTAAATTTGTTGTTTTTTAGGAGACATGTGGTTTATCATAATGAACATTGTTTTATCCAATATGCAGACTGAAGTGAAATGTTGCAAAAAATGAATAAAACATTGAACAAACTTTACATTTTTAAAATAGTAAAGGTTTATATTAGGATCTTTCTTACCCCATCCAATAACGCATAGTCTCAATAGATAGAAGGGCATATAGATGTTGAACACCTTCACCAGTGCAATGTACATGTGAACAGCTTCCAGGCCCATCCAGGTGCAAGAGGCCAAGAGGAAATAATGGAGGAAAGCAGCTGCTGCGATACACAGACCGTAGTTGGAGAAGGATGAAAGCCAAGGGTCAACAAGAAAGAAAATGCTCAAACCCAGCAGTGCAGTGGACAGGTTGATAAGAATCTTTGATGGATAGTCCTGACGCAGCTTCCTGTAGGAGAAACACTGAGTCAGTCTCTTTGGGTTGCATAGATAACTATTTCCATAACATTCAAACTGCAGATGTTAAGCCATTAGTTGGAGCCAATAAAATATGAGAAAGACGTTCTGGTTTTTTTGCTTGTTTGTTTTTTGAAAACCGTGTAATTCACGACGGATTGGGAAAACAAGCTTTAGGGCTGTTTTTCTTCAAAATGTTTTTGAAAAGACAGAGAAATATGTGAAAAAAGAAGGAAATCGGCAAAATTAGAAAAATGGCTAACAGGTTTTCTTTCCAACAAAACAATAGCACAACAGACTCCATTCATATCATCAAGTCATCATGTTCAGATTGGACTCCCTTGATTAGTTGACTGTGGTCTGGTGTGCTATTGCTTGGTTGGAAAGAAAACCTGCAGCCACACGGCCCTTTCTGGAACCAGTTTGACACCCCTGAGCTAAACCATAAAAAATACTGAAAAAATATTTCAATTTGAGTGCTAGAAGGGTCAGAAGATTTTCTATACCAAGTTTCATATTTTTTCATTAAATAGTGGAGAAGAGGCGGGGATGCAAAAATATGTGTAATTTTGGATTTTCGTTTGTGATTTTTGAAAACTCTCCCAATGGATTTCTATTGAGAGAGTTTGGACTTCATGCTGGTCTCGGCCAAACTGTAAGAAAACTGTAAATCCCACACCATTTCCTGTATCCTGACAAAAATATCTACGTTTTGATGTATAATTTGTATGGATAGTTTAAACATTTAGCGAGTAAGCAGAAGTTGTTTGCCAAAAGTAAAATGTTTGAAAGCGCAGAGTGGCCCAGTCTAGGAGCACAAAGATTCCAACATTGACTTCCACTACAAAATCAAAAATCTTTAAAAAATCTTGAAAGGTTTGAAGCTTCACTGAAGCACAACTGTAAAAGATAGCAAAAAGCTCAGTTAAACATTAATAGCTGAAGGATGCAGAAAAGTCTTAAAATTTGAATGGTATTTTTAGCTGAAAATATGCAGAAGTTGAAATTTAGACTTACTCAAGAATAAGGTAGGTGAGTAAAGTTATTCCTAGAAAGAATCCGGAGATACCACAACCAAGGTATGAGATCACTGTGAGAACCTCTGTATAAGTATCACTGAGAGGGCTTCTGGTTACATCCTGAAAAACACAAACATGAAAAAAAAAAATTATTTCACTGCAATTTTCTGTCTTAATATATAATAAAGGTAAAATCTAGATATTCACTAAAGGATGGAGAGATGAAGCCTATAGAAGCCCTAAGCCCCTCCTTTCAATTCCTTGACTCCTAAGCCAAGATGTCAAGATGCTTCAACAGCTCTACTGTGCCATCAAGTGGACAATAAAATGAAAACAAAAGTGATCACCTGTTGTCAAAACAAGCCTTGATTACTACTTTGCAAAAAAAAATCTGTCAACATCTCCTCACTTTTTAAAAATGCCCTTACTCCGAAGGTTAAAAACTGAAACTGGTTCTCATTCTTCTTCTTCTTAGTCAGTCTCCACTATGTGGTAGGATTGAAGGAAAATGGTCCTCACAGTAACTAGACAGGTACACCATACGACTAGACTTGCATTCATTTTATATGGCCTAAACTAGAATGTTACTCTAACCCTAACCTAACATATAACTAAACCTAACCACAACCCTAACCTCATCCTGAAAGGACAGAACTTTACCATATGGGGACCAGTTGAATGTCCCCAAATGGACCTGTAAGTCCCCACATGTAGGATATCTTACATAATGCTGCCCCCCATTGTAGGTACAACACGTCCATTTGGTCACATTATATGTCTCTAAATGGAACAGTCTTTGTACCTGAGTGCATTTGCAAACTGAAATCTGGCTTTTTCAGTTTCTTCTTCATAACAGAACCTGTTTTACTTGGAAAGAATTCTCCTATCAGCTTCAGCCAGTGCCTTCTGAAATTAATTTGGTTTTGTTCTGGGTTAACATGGACATTTCCAAGAAAAGTCAAATCATCACCTGGGCACAAAACTTTGTGAAAAGGATCATGGCTGCACACTGCCTTGTTTTTTTTTTTAAATATTGTCATTGGTCAGAACAGATTTACATGGCACCTTCCAGCATCAGGTAAAAGTACCCATGTAGAACCAGACTTGTGGAGTTCAACAGTTAGTTTTTCTAATTTTCCGGTTGATTTAATTTTACTTTTCATTCAACTGAAAAGTAAAAGTAAAACTTTTTAAATCGAAGAAAGTTTGAAAATGTTGACTTGAAGTATATATCTGGTTTCTCCTGCATAGACTACAGGAAGCTTAGGCGAGATGTCCAGCTGAATTTTTTAAGGTAAAAATAAAATAAGGATTTGCATTGCAAATATCTAAGTTAAGGTTCATGGGTTTATTCTAAGGATGCTCAGCAGTGACTCACTAGCAGGACAGCAAAATGTGTGAGGTGATCACAAAGACAGCTGGTCCAGTAAGCAGATTCACTCAGGGTTTCACAGCCACTGTTATTCCAACCACCATGGCCATCTGAAAATACACACAAACAAGCAAAAGAATACATTTACGTCCTTTTTAAAAAAAACAAAACAAAACCTTTCTGTCAACTCAGCCTCCTATGAGTAAAACACTTTATGAATCATGTTTGTTCCCTAACAAGGTTCAGTTACGGTAAGTCCAACTGTACACACTGAGAATAATAATCAAAGATCAACTCACCGTACTTCTGGAAATCCCAGAACATACATTGCACTTCGTCCTCTGTCTACAAACAGGGAAATATCCATCATGCAGAGCAAACAGTGAAAAGATTTGATGTAAGATGAAAAAGAAATGTTTATACCATTTTGGGTGTTTTATGTTTGAGGGTCACCACCACTCTTTCCTTTAGGTTGATGACTTGGCTGTTATTAACACTGGCAGATACTACAAATGAGTTTAATGTCATATTCCTCGTGGTTTCATTGTTTAAATATGGATCCTGTAAATGACAACACAATAGTGGCTAGTAAAGCTACCATTATAAAACATCCTTTACAAATTGACTTTCTTTATTCATATTACAAATATACTACAGTAGGTACAAATAACATTCAAATTTAACCATTTTGTTTTGCAAGCACTTCAAACTATGCTTCTTTTTCTTTGCCTGTGTGGCAAGCACAGATTTAACAACTAAAATATAAATAAAAAAAAACCCAGATATCTCTTTCCAAAGACAGCAAAAAACATATCTCTTCTTAGATGTGTACAGTAAAAAAGAACTATAAAGCAAAAAGGTTACTGAGCAACCTCAAAAAGTTAATACACTTACCTAGAGAAGCAATTAAATTAAACATTTTAGATATCTATAGAGTCATTCTTTTCTTTCTAAAGTTGCAGTTACTATTTCAGTAAATTTAGAATATGTGGAATGTGATCACCATACTTCTACCACTTTTTGCTTTTTAATTTAAAATATACGTTTCCTTCTTTGATGAATTATCCGTTTATTTGTACTTATTCTAATCGCTTTCTGCTTATCCAGGACTGAGTTGTGGGAACAGCAGTCTCAGCGGAGCCGCCCACACTTCCCTTTGCTCAGACACTCTTCAAGCTCCTCTGAGGGAGGCCGTTCCAAGGCCATCCAAGAGACACATTCCCCCAAGCATGTCCAGGGTCATCCCCTGGGCCTCGTCTCACTGAGACATGTATCAACACCTCCCAAGGGAGGTGTCCAGGGGACGTCTGACTGATGTTTGAGCCACTTCAACTGACTCTTCTCAAAGTGTAGAAGAAGCAAGCCTCTCCCAGATTGCTGAGCTTCTGATCCTATCTCTAAGAGAGTGCCCAACCACTATGTGAGAAAAAATATTTTTGGTGGATTTTATATGGGATTTTGTTCTTTCAGTCATGACCCAATTTTCATGGCTGTAGGTGAGGGTAGGAACGTAGACCGACAAGTCAATCGAGAGCTTTGCCTTTTTGCTTGGTTCCTTCTTTACCATAACAGACCGCTGCAGTGTCTGTATTACCACAGGATCCCAGGATCCCCTTGAAGTCCTGCACTTGAAACATGAACTCTCGTCCAACCTGAAGAGGGGCAGCTATTTTTTTTCAGTAAAAAAACATGGAAATGGACTTGGAGGAGCTGATCTTTATCCTGGTTGCTTTACACTCAGCTGTGAGCCACCACAGAGCATGCTGTTAGTGTTAGCAGTTCAGCATGAATTGGAAACAAGTCCGACCTTATTCTGGCAATGCAGACCATACAGTATCTCTGCTTGTAGAGAGACTGAAAGGGCAACAAACTCCATACTTCTAAATTTGCCCCCTTAGGGCATCAAGAGGAACATGGTCAAATGCCTTTTCCAAGTCCACAAAGTACATGTGGTCCAGTTGGGCAAACTGCTTTGAGCACCCTCCAGAGGGTGTAGAGTTGGTCCAGTGTTCTACAGCCAGAAAGAAAACCACACTGCTCCTCTTAAAGAGAAGGTTTGATGATCAGCTGAACTCTTCACTTCCCGAGTTTCCCTTCTTGTGAAGGGGAACCACCAGCCCAGTGTCTGCCAGTCCAGAGGCACTGTTCCTGGCTGCCCCGTGATGATGGAAAGGTGTGTCAATAACAACGGTCAAACAACATCCAGATATATTCAGGGGAGTCACATCTACCCTTATATAGTCTTTCCATCATGGAGTTTTTAACAACTTCTGTGACTTTGGCCTGGATGATAAACAAGCCTGACCCTGAACATCCAGTTTCTGCCTCCAACAGGGAAAGTGTGATAGCCAGGTTAAGGAAATGGCTTCAGTCAAGTTAGGCCATTGGTCTGACAGGTAAGAAAGATCTATATTGGACTATACCACTAAATGCCCACATGATGTTTTGATGACAAATGTAATTCAGTGTTGATTCCTAAAACAAACCTTGCAATATTTGTCTGCTACTACTTTCATCTTTACAACTGCATCATCTATGTCTCAATAATAGATTTATTTATTTTGTTTATCTTACCTTGTTTTATGGTTGATTTTAGTTTGATGTGTAATAGAAGAGGCTTCTGTGGTCTAATTTTATGTAATATGTAATTGTATATGTAATATAATGACAGCAAAGCTATTCTAATTTAAATTCTGATTTCTGCTAGCATATTTCTTTTATTAGAAGAATTACCTGAAAAAGGTCAAGTGTTCCGTAAAAATGAAACTGCACCCTTGTTGTGTTTCTGACTCCATGTGGAAAAAAGTTGATAAGCTCAGTGGGCAAAGAAATCGTTGCGTTTGCCTCTGCATGTGATTGGTTGACAAAACTCTGGTTAACAAAGACCTGGAAAAAAAGTAAGACAGACATTTAAAATCTTTTCAGCTTAGATTTTCAAATTCTATCAATACAGTAAAATTTCTCCTTTACTAGCTTTTGCCGTTTTCTATTTTATGATGCCAAAATGTGACACTTTATTCACTTCATTATCATTATCTCCTCGACCATATGGCTGTATAAAGAGAGGGTTTTTATTAAGGAATTGTCTGCAGCTATTTCTTTTCAGAGCATATTAACACTGTAATATCTCCTGATACAAAGATCTTGAGTCCTCAGAAAGTGTATATACTGTATGTTGTCATGTCTGGGAGGATATAAAAGAGATTTTGTTTAAAAATAAATAGCAATTCTTAAACTTTTATCAAAAGATTTAACCAGATTTCTGATCTCTATGTTTCGTTTCACAGTGGGTTTGTTTGGAATAAAGTCCTCCTTGGTTTAGTAAAGTCCTTTGGCTCGAACATTCTCACATTGGATGTTTGAAGGTCACCAACCATCATACAACAGTTACCAAACAAGTACTACCAACTTATCAAACAAATACAAACACTACTAACCATATATTTTGAGTAGTATTACCGGTATCCATTATTTCAGGGTTTGTTTTTTTCATTTCACAAGAGACATGTTAGTAAAGTGCAATTTTATTGTACGAGGTGTGTGTAAAATCCACCGTGCTACTGTATCAGATGGAGTAGATTACAATTCTGTTGTAATGTTTGTTAGGCTGTCTTTATCTGCCTCTTTTCCACAGTAGAGATGTGTTGCAGCTTGTCAGCTACTACAAACAAGCTGTATCTCAAAATGCCTTTGTCCCCTCCTTAGGACCTTTTCTATTCTGAACTGCAGTTCTTTAAATGTACTGTATAAAGATTGATGTAAGTCTTTTTAAACAAAGGTGAAAACATGTTAATTGTTCAAATAAATACTTTTTTATTCTTTCGTTAAAAAATTCAAAATTTGAATTTATTCAAATGACACTATACTGTAAGTCTTAGCTGCTTAATCATTAAATGGGTTGGCCGGAAAATTGAGTTGCTCAACCTGTAATGGTTTATTTTCATCCATGAAGACAACATCTCTACATAGCACAGAGTATGTAAATTCTGTAAGGTTATTATCCGCTGTCATAAGAAGTCAAGGTACCAGGCACACATGTTGGGCATATGAGAAGATTACATGCAGTATCGGTTTTTTGAAGAAGGAATGGGGGATGATTATCTAATTTAACGATCATACCACAGCATTATGCTGCAGTCCTGTAGTGTTGTGTACCATCAAAATGTAAGAGAGATGCCTTACGTTACCACTTTACCTCAGGGTTCATTGTAGATGAGAGGGACACACTAAATGTGAGACCGTTAAACTCTTCTGGATCGACATTGATCATGGAAAAAGCAAGTGCATGAGCCTTGATGTTTGCATATTCCCCACTGAATTCCATACAGTTACCCATCTGGTCTGTCAGATCAAGGAGACTTTCACAGAGGAAAAAAAGGAAAATTAGCAAAGTAAAATATAAGTAAAATACAGAGTTTTATTTGAATTCATTGAGTCTGTAACTTTTCTCTTACATGTCAGCCACTGGTGTTATATCAGTTTCAGAAAGCAGGATATTGGCCACAATGTGGACAATACGATTCCCAACTATAGTCTCAATGATGCTTACATCAACCACTTCACTTAGCTTTTCCATCACTGATCCCAACTCAGAGAAAGACAGCCCCGGCTTATTACTGAGCTGAGCATCGACAGCGTCCTGAATGATGTCCACAACCTCAGCTGCATTACCTAAGAATCATTCATATTTATCATTTGTATAAGTAATGCCATGTATAGAAAGAGATGTATGTGTAGCTGATTGATCCTCTTACCAGGTGTGACTGTAATGTTGCTGATCTCTGATATAGTTACGACCTTATCACAGTTTTTCATATCAGGATAAGCCCAGTTGGTTGTGTCAGATTTAATGTCTAGTTTACTAAAAAAAAAATAAAAAAGACAATTAAGTTGTACAAATTAAAAGCAGTAGTATCCATAATATACAGCTGCTGATCATTAGCTCAATACCGGTACACATCAACCATCTATTGACAGACCATATAAAACTGATTATTATACAGTAATATTGTAGATAGTGAAAAGCCTTTCATTACAGCAATAATGCACGTGTATTGAATCAATTTCCTGTTCAGGCTGCAGGATGGCAAAGATTGAGCTGAATTACATAATTAGAGTTAAGTCTCTATTATTTGACAGGTTCGGGTTTTTGCCATTAGGTCTCAGTGAAAACATAGCAAACATATTATTATGATCAGCTTTTGTAAAAGATAGAAAGGGAGCTACAAAAACAACATCTCTAATGATTCGAGGCTTTAAAAAAGCTGCATGTCTTGTTTAAAATATATTTGATAATAATTTTTAATACATCAAATAAAAAATATTTTTTCCATTCTTGTAGTAGGGTTTTGCACAACATGGTAAAATCTTAAACCCCTAGCATTGTCCCTTAGCTGCAAAGACTGGTTGAGGTTGGAATCAAAAAACAAACTACTTACCAAAGTCTGTAGGCTCTATTTGAAACTGGTTTGATACATCCCATCTCTGCAATGTCTTGTGGAAATGTTTCCGGCCAATTGTATTGCCCATAAATAGATGAAATGTCCTGTTTTAAACAGTTTTTTGGCTCTGAAAGAGAAAAAATAATAATGAAACGATTATGCACCATGTTGATAGGTTGCCTTTAATTATGTAATTTCATTCCAACTCCTTATATTTTGACACGTTACTGTAAAAAAACTTCAAATGTAGATATTTCATTTCGGTTTTAGGAGCAAAAGCAACATAAAGTAGTGGATAATTGTGAATTTTAAGGAAAACAATTTTCTGTTTTTATATATATTTTACAAATAAAAATCTGAAAAGGATAATTTCCATTTACAGTATATTCCATGAATTTTATTTCCATACTTCTAAAACAAACTCCACTGTAAGCAAATGTCTTTAAAAGTCCATCTGTGTAAACAGTAGCTTAAATTTTACAGTATAGCTGTTCAGTGAGCGGCTCAAAGGAACGGATAACACCCTGAGGACTACAAAGATGAGGCAGCATGTCTGAGATGAGATGTGGAGAAAATAAAAGCATGATTAGGTTATAAAATGAATAATCAATAGTCAGAGAGCTGTTAGATTCATTGCTCTAAAATATGGAA